AAAAAAAACAAAAAAACGCTATTTGAGGCGTGACAAATGGTTGAGAAGTGATTTTTTTTTTACATATAAGAATTCTGTGTTGTTGTTTTTTTGTTTTTTTTTTAAATGTTTTTCCGATTTACTTTTTCCCAAACATAGACTTCAAAGCCGTGTAAAATTGTCTTTTATTTAAAATATTTTTAGAGGATGCAGTATATCAAAATCCGATTAATTAACATGCATACAAATTAGGAATTAGAGATTTAGTGACTTCGCAATAGCAGGTAAGAAATCAGTGCTATTAACTTTTCATCATCTTGGTAACACTGGGTCATATTTTATAGTCCTCATATATTGAGTTATAAGTATAATGTGCTCACACGATATGAAAATTCCGATATAATAATTTTAGACCATTAGTGCTATTTAATTTTCTTCTAATTTAAAAAAAAAAAAAAATTAGTATAGCGACACGATACACTTCATTTTTTTTTGCCTAGTCGTAGCGGTGGCGCTACTCGGGATGTTCTGTTCACCCCCACCACCCCCCCTTCCCCCCCCCCCATTCAGACATGGTATCTGAATACCACAAGTCGTCTTTGTTTCTTAGTTGTGAGGGTTTGGGATAATCAGTTAATCCCTTCAAGGTGAGTCTAAAAATTTGGCACCAATCCACCATTATCAAGTATAGGGAGAAAATATATTGTTATTGCGTGTTTTGTGACGTGCCTAGGGTTAGTACCATCCACGGGGCGGGTCAAGATTTTTGCCACCCCTTTTTCATAAAAATAACTCTTGGCCTTTTCGAAGATGCCACCCCACTCAGTGTAAAGATTTTTTTTTTAAAGTCCCTGCCCTCCACCCCCTTCCTACGCCACTGCAAGCGGTTTTTCTTTTTTTTTTTTTGGTAACTTGCCGTGGATAACAAGGGAGGTAAACGCACTTTAAGGGCTCCGCTATTAATGGGAGGTCATCAACCGGTGGAGCAATATAACTCTTGGCCTTTTCGAAGATGCCACCCCACTCAGTGTAAAGATTTTTTTTTTAAAGTCCCTGCCCTCCACCCCCTTCCTACGCCACTGCAAGCGGTTTTTCTTTTTTTTTTTTGGTAACTTGCCGTGGATAACAAGGGAGGTAAACGCACTGTAAGGGCTCCGCTATTAATGGGAGATCATCAACCGGTGGAGCAAAACCAGCTCGGTAGTCTCAAGTGGAGACTTGTATAATAATGGGGGGTGGAAGCGTTACAAGGACTTGAGGCGAACCTGATACTTTGAAGAGTAACGTTGAGCCAGTCCTAATTTCTTACATTAACATTTTTAACCGTCTCGTTTCGCTATGTGTGAGGTGCTATCTCTGTTTCTCTCACTCTTATTTTGTTTTACTATATAGTATTTTTGCGTTCAAAAAGAAATTTGACGAAAATTTTGTCGTGTGAACTGAAAAAAAAAAAAGACCAAACATCCGTTCGATCAAATTTCCGTCGATCTTTTTCGTCGACGACATTTCTTTCAAACACATTTTCGGTAACCGTGTAAGCTTTGTCCCAACATGACGTGAAAACTTCACGCATCACTGATTCAACGAATGATAACTTATCTTTTAATCTTTTTTTAAATTTTTACATTAAAACTGTAGGCCAGTGGGTAATCGGCAAAATAATTCGTCTTTTTTTTCCCCCTTAAATCTCAAAGGGAAATAACAACTTCGATTACACTAGTCCAACCTCCTGACTATTATTAACTAGACTTACCCCAACGTTTTTTTTTTTTTTTTTTTTTTTTAATTTTACTTCCCTCTGTCTTAACTACACACTATTTCTCGAAGAGTATTCCCCCCTTAACGAAGTTTCGTATTTTTTGTTTTTGTTTCCCGCCCTTGCTTGCGTCCATCAGCTCCGGTGGCTCTACTGCGGCTTGGATAACAACACAACCGTTTTCAATTCCAGAGTACTTTGAGTTTTGGGACATGGCGCCAAGCCGTATAAATGCCACGCATGGGGTTAAAGGTCGACCTGAAATTAGAGTATTTCTAAATTTTAGTTAATCTTCATTTTTTTATTTTTTTTTTGTGGGGGATGGAGCAGACCCGTAGAGGAATCGAGTGAGATTTTTCGAGTTTCCGATCATGGTGGATTGTTGGGGGTTGCTTGGAATGGTACCTTTTGTTTGTTTTTTTTTTCTTCTGAAAACACATTAGGATTTTTATCGAATATCCCGCTTTTCAATAAATATTGTAGTAATGTAGCGCATCCAGACAATCACTTATTTAGGCTTAGTAATGTAATACAATCCCTTTACATGTTTACAAACTTGTTTACTCTTTTAGAGGACGTTACTGCGGTGTTCACGTTTTACTTTCTTCAAAATGCCGTAACATTTGACTCGATGCTCCCACATTTCATGATATTTACAGCAGTCATGCAAGACCAGGTTGAGGGTTAAGCCTTATTATCATGGTGTTTTTTTTTTTGTGTGTGTTTTTTTAAAAACTTATTTGTCCTGTGCAGGAAAGTAATCAAACCGAAGAGTAAGCCATGCTTCTGGGCATATTAGCTAAGACAGAGGATACATTTTTACAAACACCACCCCCCCCCTCCCCAAACTTATAAACTCGTTCCACTGTATAAACTCACGTTCGTTAACTGATTAGAGGAACTTTTGATTTAGTGGTAGACATTACACACTCGGACATTTGCTTGGGTCGTGGGGTTAAGGGAGATCACCACTGAAAACAGCGTCCGTACCCCCCTTCCTTGTTATGATTCGGTCAAATCGGTTTGCCCCCGAGTGACCCTTTTCCGGAAATCCTAGCACTTGTTCGGAATGTCCAGTGACACATCAGCTGAGCACGTAAATGCCTACATTAGGTTGTTATCCAGAGTTTTTTTGTTTTTTTTATTGTCGTAGTGTACGTGGGAGGATATTGCTTTTGAAAAGCGGTGATCAGTTACAAAACAATTGATGAATGAAAAATGTTTGATAGATATTTTGCTTGTGGTGTTACTGCTTCCATTTCCGGATAGCGCGAAAAATACAATTCCCGATAACTACGCTAAATCCACTTTTAAATGATTTTTTTTTTAATACGGTAACACAACTGCGTTTGGTGCGTAATATTTAATTTTCTTTACGGAAAATGAAATCGTCTCAATTTAAATATGGTGTGATAAATATTCAGTTTAAACGTGGTCGGGACATCAGAATTTTGATCTATTTCATTGTCGTGAAATAAAAAGTGTGCAATGACATATCATTGGGGGGGGGGGAAGGGGGGCAGAGCTGAAGCAAAAATGGGGATTCTTAAATGAGCGTTAGTTGAGTTAATGTATTGTCAAGAAACTTAAGTAGATGGGTAGTTCACGCATTGCTCAGCGAGCTATAACTAGTAATAAATACTAATTTAAAATAAAATATATATGTATATTATAATATTCTCTTAAGTAGTACTATTAGGCCTAATTTAAAAGTCTGTTTATTCTCTTAAGTAGTAGGCCTAATTTAAAATTAAAAGGCTTTGATACGCGTTTAAATTATGGTTTTCATAAAATGAAAGTTAGTGAGATACTCCGGCCATACATATTGAATATTGGTCACAGTGATTTGAACACAATCTATCTCGCACACAGAGCTCGACATTGCCTAACCGGCCCAAGTCAGAAAAAGAAACAGAAAATGCCAACCCCTGCCTTATACTAAATTGCTCAATTTATTCAAGCAATTTATTTTTTGTTTGTCTTCAGCGTGCCATTGAAGATTGCTCTGTGTGCTAAGTCTGACACGCGTGCCAACCCTCGGTTAGAGTTTTTTTAAACATGAAAGGCTTTTTTTTTCATTGTGAAATATTTTGTTCCTGCTAAATTCATTTGGGTTATCTTGACACAATATCCAGGGAGACAATTCAATGATTGTTTCCCTGTTCAACATATTGCAAATACCGTGGATGATTGAAAGCTTATCAGCTGTCAACTGAGAAGTATGCATGTGACGAAACCATGATGGGTAAACCAGTCGTCATTTTAGCATAACACTTTCAAAAAGTCATCTCTGCTAACTAGATCAAAGTTTCCCCAACTTTTTTTGGAGTGGCTAAAGTGACCCACTTAATAATACAGAATTGTGTTGTTACTCTCAGCCAGTTACTTGCTTTTAAGATAACTGGATGAATATTTCTATACTGTTCATAGTGTTAAGTAGCAAACACTGTCAGAATTAATTTGCAATTTCAATTCCTCTGTTTTATAGTCTATATTTCAATTTGCATTTCCATCTTGTGAATGTAGCGTTATTTACACACGTGACATTTTCTCCTGAAGAAATTGCAATAATCAGTCTGATGGTTTTCCATTTTATAATTTATATGTAAAGTAATGTAATATAATGGGGGAGATTGTTTCAATGAAGAATAAAATAGCAGGGTTTCAGATTGAGTAATTTCTCTGTACCTGAGTACTATATCCTTATACAATATGCTCTGATTTATATATGAATGCTGTTTAATTATTGCATATCCAGACCAATGCTCAAAACAAAACTTTAGATTGAAGATATAGGACTTTATCATAAATATTAAACAAAACACAAATATAAATAAAACATTCCAACAAAAACTATGAAAAGTAACATTTAATGAAGCAATGAAAATTAATTTTTTCATCAAACAATGGACTCAATAAAGTGGACGTGCCAATTATCAACCACATCATGTAGAGTTGCACTTGTCACGACAATTCCAAAAAGGAAATAAAATTAAACAGCCAGAAATTTACTTGTCACTTTTCTCTGAAAAGAAAAGACATAAAAATGCATTTTTTAAAAATCAAATAATTTCCCATTAGCACAAATATTTAAAAAAAACAAGTTAATCATTTTTTTTTTTTTGTGTGCAAATATGCTCAGGTCAAATGTTAAAATAAAGTAAGAAAAGCAATTGATTAATTGCTACATATTAGTCACTACAAATTTTTCTCATGTTTATTTAATTATAAGCTCAAGCACTGGAACTGCGAGTATTCATTTCAACTACTCTATCACTGTGGTCAATTTACCTGCTTTCTTTCGGTCAGCCTCTTTCTTCTTTTCTGCCTCAAGCCTTGCCTCTTCCTCTTCATATTTCTTTATGTGCACTTCCACCTCACTGTCAGGTAGAATGCGCATCACCGTTTTGTTGTCTTTCCTAGTCAGTGTTGCAATCTCAACTAGGAAAACAAGAGTATTAAATCATTCTTACAGTTATCCCAATATTTTTATGCCTTAACATGTGCACCTGACCTGTTAGAAAATATGATTTTAAAACTTAACATATATTAAAAATGCAGTTGTTTTGCTGTGTCCCATTTCAGGCTTTGACATACTTGTGTCATTTCCAGCTATAAGTAAGCTGTGTAATACTTAGACAAATGGTTTAAAGTCATACTTGATATAGATAAACAGGTCAAGAATATTGAAAGAGATTGATATATTGCAAAAAATAAACTGTGAAGAGCTCAGCCTCACCTTTGTCTGCTGCCACCTTGGTCATATCTAATGTTTTACTCAAGACTTTAATGGCAAGATCTAGAGCTGAACTTAAAGAAAAGTTGTCTTCATCCTTGTACTCTTGTTTCAGTAGAGAAATAGCGTTCTGTGTATATGAAATACAAATTTTAAATAATAAACGAGAGAACCAAGATCTTTTGTCAATAAATTATATTCTGACAAAGCATCAGTGAGCAAAAACAAAAATGTGCATAAATTATGCATTAAGTATTACATTTATGATGGAGGACATAAAAAACAGCATGTGCACTTACAGCACTGTTATTCCCTATACAAGTTGCTTTCCAACCTCCATAGTTGCCACTAGGGTCGCTTTGATACAGTTGAAAGCCATAGTGTTTGTCCCAGCCCATGTACAGAATAGAAACACCGAAAGGCCGCTTGCCTTTATGAGGTAAAAAAAAGAAAATGCATTAGAATAATGAGAATATGTACACCTAGAACTTAAGAGAATGACTAAGTAAACAGGGTTTGAATATGAAGTCGACATTTCCATTACATTTTCAGTCAAGTGAATATTAAAACTGAACGTGAAACGTTTGAAAATTGTTTCATATGAAGCTGTATCTGTACTAGGTCATGCAAAACTTTTCCCGGTCTTAGTGGTGTGACTTGAGTGACAAATTAATTTCTTTCAGGCACGCTAGCTTCATTAGTCTTAAATTGTTATCTATACCTCCAAACTGAGTGTAAGCTTGTTTGAGGTCACAAAGGGTGGACACTAGTTGCTCACAAGGTATAGGTTCCTGGTACTGAAGAATGTACCTGAAAGAAATAAAATATCTGTAGCAACAAAATAAGTTGAAATATGTTTAAATGAGCAGTTATCTAACAGACTGAGAAATAATTTACCCCTAAGTTGAGTATTAAAACAATTTCATAGCCACATCTTAAGTCAGGATAACAGATACGAGTCTTATAGCTACACTCTTAATGAACACAATAAAACAAATAACAAACCTTTGGGCAATAAGCCTCAGCTCATTTGTCAAAACATTGGCATCAGCTGTTATTCCAGCAACACTAATAGCCATATCACTGTGAGATGAAGGATTATTGAACAAAGACTTTATTATTGAACATTCGTTTCATGGCTAAACCTTAAAATTGTGTACACCATGGTACTTGTACATATATGTACCCTATGTATTATTCTGGAGCACAGAAGTGTATGTGAAAATGATATTTTGTTCTATCAAAGGTTTTATCTCTTAGATTACTAAGAAACTTCTCAAGAACTAGGAAAGTCACGCTGAACTTTTAAAACTCATAATTTTGCGAAGAAGAGTTTAACAAAAGAGTTTCTATGTAATAAAGAGAGATGATCCCTGAATGAGCATATTACAAGACCTTTCATGGAGGGGTAGGCGAATGCCTGATGAAAAATTCATTGGCACCGGAAGGCATGTTGGGCAGAACTAGTTTGAAAACACACACTACTTTAGATTCTGCAATTTTATGTTATATGGTGCAAGCAAAATTAATGGATTTAACACTAGAATTACAATATTCTGATACAAGCTTTATACAAGCTGTAATATTATAACAGATTTTTATAATGCATAAATTAGACCAATATGACTTTTTTTTTGTAACAAGTGAAATAGGACTCACTCATAAAGCCTGTAAATTTTTTCAGAATATGAAACCTCATCAAGGAGTTTGTTGGTATTTCTTTTTTCCGCTGCAAGTAAAATGCCATCTGAAGCCATGATACCTAAACATGTTCCTGCATGACCAATAGCTTCCATAGCATATTCCACCTGATAAAGGCGGCCTAAGAAATAAAAAAATAAAATAAACAAAGTTTTGAGGAGCATGAAGTTATGCAAACAAAATCAGAGTCTATTAAATACTACATTTTAACGTACTTAATATTATTTTAAATATAATTATCAAACATAATTTGTAATTAGATCCATCTCGAACATGGTATCAAACTTCCCGAAAGGCTGCTTAACTACATCTTTATTAAGCATTATTTTTTTATTACACTATGTGACTCTAAATCACTTAGCAGACCCCATGAGAAAGTTTGGGGTGTGTGAACTTGGCATGTCTGGACTAGTGTGTTTACACTGGTAATCATTAGAATGATAAATCTATGTGGCACGCCTGTTGTAATGTGTTTATACTGAAAATCTTTAGAGTTATAAAGTTTAAAATCTATTGCCAATTTCAAAATAAAGTATAAGCCTAAAAATGTCAAACCTTCTGGAGAAAATATCGTAGTTCTTGAGTCATAACGGCGAGCCTGAAATAGAAAAAAGTTAAAAACTAGAAACTATTTGTTTTAAAAGAATTTAAAATTCACACAATATAAACCATAGTGAAGTAAATAAACGGAAAGTTGATTTTAGTTTAGATATTTTTTATTTTCCTCCTTGTTTAAAATTACTTTTTCTTCTATATCAGTTACATTTTCCCTTAGGCCTAATTAATAATATTTTAGGGTATGGTAGATTTAGTTCAAGCATTAGGGTAGAATTTGTTTAAGGGTTTGTTTATAGGTAGGTAGAGCTAGTTTTCAGGGTAGGATTTGTGTCAAGATATTAGAATCACTGCATGTCACAAAAGTGTGTTTTTTTTTTAAATTTTATTTTGCAAATGTTGCCAACCAGGTTTCTGAATGCTGAGACTGAACAAAGGGTTCCATAGTATAAAAATAGAGCAAGAAACTAGGTCTAGAGAAGGAGAGCAAACTAAGACTAAGAAGGGATTAGAGATCACCAAATCAAAATAAATATGCATGTCAGTCAGTAATAGCATCTAGTGAGGATAGACCACTGTGGCAACTTGTAACTTGAAGTAAAAACTATTTTCGCTCTTCGCAGAATTTTCAACACTGCACCATTGCACTTTAAAAATCACATTTAGTGTGGCATCTACTGAGGATAAACCATTTTCTCCACTTGTTATGTTGTGAAAACTATGACTTTATGACTCATGACTATTTGTATTTATGATAATTTATATGTTATAACATGACATGGTCATAGAATATCATATAAAATGTTGTATCAGCTAGCTTCAGTTTTAAATTTAAAGTAAGTAAGTTTAGTAAAAGGGTACTTATTGTTAGTTATAAAATTAATGGAAGGTTGTTTTTTAAATTATTAATATGAATGAAATTTCGTTTCATCCAATTTTTAAAACAAATCAATTTCTAAATATTGTTCAATTTAAATATTTTAAATTCATTATTTCATTATGCATAAGGCCTAATATTGAAAATTATTCAATTGAGCGACAATTGTCAGAATTCTGGTAACAAACACATGAATCCCTATGCCCATGAGATTAAAAAGTAATTTAACTAAATATAGTCAATGAATTGCTTGGCTTAGACAAAACCAAATGAAAATGATGATTATTTCAAAACTGAATTATCATGCTCGTACTGAACTCTGCTGCTATGCGGCTGCGGGGTATCTGAGCCACAATTATCAATCCTGACAAAATAGCAACATGTAATCGAAACCTTCTTGACTATTAAAAATGTCACTGACAGAATTAACTAATGAGCTTTCACATTAATTGAAACAGTTGATAAACAAGCATTAAGTTATTAAAGATAACACTTAGTAACGTTAATAATTTGTCAACATCATTCACCCACCATTTTGAAAATCTATGTAGAGCTACTCAAAAATACGAAACCAAGGAGGACATAACAATATTTAATTCAAATTTGCAGTTCAAAGTTGCTGTATCAACGAATACTATTATTATAGCAAATGTGAACTCATCTCGACCCATCTTTATATTTTATTTATTAGACTAAACCAATTTACTTTAAAACTCATTTAATTTTAATATATAACTTATATGCTTATTTTATAAATAAATATTTATATTTTAAAAACGCGTTGCTAATAGACTAATTATTAAAAACCAAAGGAAATTATTTTGAATGTCTATACTGATCTATCTAAGTATATGCAGAACTATTGCCCATCCATGCTTATCGGTTAAGTTAGGGAAGGACCTACAATAAAGTCTATAACGCAAAAAAAATTTTTTCCCCAGGAGCAAACATATAAATGGCACTGTATTTGTTTATTTATTCTAAATTAATTCTTGCTGGAAGAAATATGTAATATTTTAAGCTTACTTTTAGTGGCAAAGATTACTTTTAGGAAGCAGGGACAACATTTGGGTAGGGCGGGGAAAAGGGGAATTATTCATCATTTAAAATTAATTAAAAAAAATAAAATCATAATCTGGCAATACGTATTTAAATTTTTATGTACAGGGGCGTCTCCTATAATAAACAAGCCCCCCCCCCCCCCCTAAAATAAAAAAAAAAAAAAAAAAAAAAAATTTGGCAAACATATTTTAAATTTTTTTTAACAGGGGCGCCCCCAAAAAAAAAAAAGCCCCCCCCCCCCCGGTCCCTTTGAAAAAAAATCCCTGAAATGACGTTCCTGGTATGAAGAGGGGTACGAAGGGGACGGTCCACCCTCGGATGCATTTTTTTCTCTTTAAGGGGCGACATTTTCACCCAACTCATGCCAACCTCATTTATTTTTTTTATTTATTATTTTTTTTTCAAGAAATAAGGACGGCTAAATGCTTGTCTCAGACTGGGTCTCACCATCCCTAGCTACGCCACCTCTTACACTTACACTCGTCATTAATCTTGATTAAATAATCGATTTTGATAATATACGACAAACACATAGACCCACTAGTAAATATCAAACAGATAGCATTATAATTTCAATTCTTGCAATTCTTTTTCTAGGAATTGTTATTTGATCAATACAACTGGATCAGGCGAATGGGGGCAGGAGAGGGGGGGGGGGTAGCGAATTAACTTACCCCATTATATATTTTGTCAGTTAGTAGGGGATTCAACAAAATCTTGAAATATATATTGCTGGAACGTAAGGCAACGTACCATGGGTTCATTAGTATTGGGAAAATCCGTTTTATTGCGCATACGCACCATTATGCACCTATAGTTAACTGCTTACACAAAAGAAAGACGTTTGGTAATATTAGAGGGCCTATGTGGAAAATATCAATCAACTTAACATGTCCGAAATAAGGCTATCTTTTGGTTCGCAGTACAAATTTCCTCTCAAATTGTATGAGGTTGTTAACGACGGCGTGCTCCTACAATGGAACTCAAGCGGAGACGGGATTATCGCAGAAGAACGTGAATATGAAGAACATGTGATGGATTTTTATCCTGGCTTTGTTCAGGTCGGCTCATTTCACAACCTCAAACGATTGTTTCGAGATTACACGTTCGACTTTCGCTTTCTGAGAAAGCGGAAACCACTCGGCGCCAAGGCTGAGTTTCGCCACCAGTTCTTTATCAGGGGTTCCCCCGCGTTGCTAACGAACGTTCGTAAGAAAAAGCGGAGACGCTTCCGCGATCCTTTGGCAACGTCCTCCCCTAAAAATTGGCAGAGGAGAGGCACAAGAAGGCGATCGTACAGACTGGCGATGAAATCTTTTTTAACCGAGGCCAGCGATCTCAAGGAGTGCTCGCACTCGGACACCGGCGAAGCAGATTCGTACGCCAACGGTTTAGCTGAACGCAGCGACTCTGAAATCAGTTATACAAATAGCAACGGCAGCACTCAGTTCAGAAGGCGATCTTCGGTGATCATGTTTGATGACCATCGACATCGTAAGTCGATCTTATTGCCAACACACCAGCAAGTGCCGCGACGCCTCCGTACTAAATCGATCCCTGAACATAAAGACACCAGCTTCAATCTTCTTCAAATTTTCGCCAAAAATGAGCTGTCCGAATCAGAATATTGGGATCTTGCGACTCGAAACTGCGGTCGGAAATTCAACGGCAAAACGTGGGAAGAAATCGTCAGTTTTCTAGACGAAATTGTAAACCATGAATTATCTCCCTTGCATTTTAAGGGCTTTTACTATAATCTTGAGCTTTCAGAGTTGTAATAACATTTTCAATGAGAAAAGTTGAAAAAGGCGAGTTTTTGTAGGAGAAGGTCCTATAAAAAATAATTAACGCAAGCCTCTTTAATACTCTACAGGTGACTTCTTATCTTCTACTGTATTTAGGATACCAATAATGATGACATGACTGTGAAATCCTGCAATATTTTATTCACAGAAGAATAATTTTACTTTAACCAGTGTGTTGTTACACATTTTTGGGGGACCTAAATAAAGCTAGATTAAGAGCAATCAAATAAGGTCATTATGTTTCAGATCTAAGACATACAGTTTTCTTCCCCAGAAGCAAGGGCAGATATGCCTTATATTCAACAGTCTTAGCATGTACCGGTATTGAAATGTTTTATTTTCCCTTCTATTTTATTTTCTATTAGACACTTTTTTTTAAAAGCAATTTAGTCTGTAAACTGTCAGATAACATGTTACATTACAAATTTAATAAAATTAAAATCATGCAAATGTAAAACAAGTTAATATTTTATTATCAACAATCTTTTATATTAGTCTCAAAATTTGCATACAGTTACTGTTTTTTATGTTCCAAATAACATTTTGAATAACATGTAAATAGGTTCGACAATAAAACTGACTCCAGATGTTCTTTCATCATCAGGTGGAGACTTTTCTGGCACATTAATATACAAAAATAACTTTTTTTTTCAAAGAATTTTAAGAAGTTTCTGTAATTTAGTGTAAGTAAATGAGTTAAAACATTATTTCTAGTAACATGAGAACAGTTACCTAACTAAAAATATTTAAAAAAAGCATTTTTAATATCATTAGGCCTAAGTATACACATAATATTTGAGGAACATAGTGCCAGAGATTCTTGCATTTAAAATTAAATACAACTTGCTTTTAAAAGTACATGTCATAACATTCTAGTAAAAATGCAGTGCACAATCTAAAGGGGATGGGATGGATTCACACAAGCATGGCATCAGCCAGGTGTAAATTTGCTAGAAATATTTTGTATAAAAATATAATTAGCTCCAAAAATCATTTCTAAAAATATATATATGTTTTAATATAGAGAGTTTTAACATGCAATTTACTGATTTTATTGATAATGTTTAAGTTTCAACAATGGAAGTAAATACCTTTGTTGTTTTAGATTCATACATTTAAGAGGCAAAGAAATAACATTTTAGGTTACATATTTGTTTTTTCAATTAAAAAAATACATTCCCTTATCCTTTGTGGCCCTACATAAAAAGTACACTGGATTCCACATAATTTTGAGATGTAATAATGCTAAATACAGATTTGTTGTAACTTTCTGTCAAATGAACAAATTCCTGGTTTAAAATACAGAAAACAGTATTAGCAGAATCACCAGCATTGTTTTAAAAATATTACTAATTTAAAAAATTATTGACATTAAAATGGATTAAAACTTAAATGCACATCTATCTTATGGATTCAGTAAAAAGAGATTATTACCTCTGCACATATACAGATACAGACCTGTTTACCCTAAAACTCTTAAAATCGTACAATATTATCACAAAATCGTTCAATACATTAGCATAATAGTAAAAAAATAAACAGACAGTATATGTAATGTTTACAACTCAAAATCGTACATCGTATGCCAAAATCGTAAGAGTAAACAGGTCTGCAGATATAGATCAATTTAAAATATGTAAAAAAAAAAAAGACAAAAAGAATAACAATACAGTTCTTATAGGATATGAAGAATTTTAATTAAGGAATTTTTTAAAATGTAAATTTATATACCATAGTTAATAATGTTTTTAACTGATACGTATAATTTTAAAAATTATAAAAAAATAATAGTGAATTATTGGCATCGCAATACTTTTAAGTTTAAGTATAAATTTTGTCATAAATGCAAGAAAATCTGCATCCTTTTTTTTGTGCACAGATTTTTTGTAAGCATTTCATTTGAAAAACTATTAGTAGTATTAGTAGATAAACAAAACACCTTTATCTTTATGCTTTGGTAAAAAAGTTATAAAAATATAAAAATAAAAAATATTGGAATACTTATGTACCATTGAAAAGTCTCTGGAATGTATTTTTAATTATTGGTGTCTCATAAGTGTTCTTATAAAACACTAGAACAGATTAGTACATTTACTAACAATTTGTGCACTAAGAGTTTCAACCAGGGCTGTCACCCGATATAACACACTTTTCAAAGTGGAAGAAATGACCTCTACTTTTTCTCAAATAATATGCATAGAACAGCCATCCGAGGCATATGAAACAAAATGATATAATCACAAGTAATCCAAATTGGTGTTGGTGAGGAGCTAAAACAACCATGAGATACTTCAGCATGTCCATAAGCTGGTTCAGAGAATTCTGAACTCCATTAACCTTCCCTCTTTCTTTCTCTTGCACTGACTCCATGAAGATTTGGCTAATGGATAAATCAGCCACCCACAAACCTTTGGAAAATGAAAAAAAATAATTTAAACATCAATTAAAAAATCCTTTTATAAATAATTAAGTGATCCCAGTAAAACAAACATACTTGATGTCAATGCCTTCAAAATAGCAAGTTCTTTAATACACAATAAAACAAAATAAAAAAATACTTGTTTCTTACAAATTTTGGTACATTTTTGGAAAAGCTTGTTTCTTACAAAGCTTTCCAAAAATGTACCAAAACGTATAAAATAAATGTCCTTCACAAATTGAGAGTTATTTCAATTATATGACTAAAAAGGTGTGGGGCGCTTTTAAACCCAATAAATTCAGGCTGTATCCAGCCAAAGGGACACACGGGGAAAACTCAACCAGTTGATGTATCCCTGCTTGCAATCCAGTGTAGCGTTCAGACGTATTTAAAGCATTGGCCCACGATTGACCATGGCAGTTTGATAGCGGAATTTTGTTCTCATTCAGGAAATCCATATCAATGTCTGATAGATCCTTTGCTCCATGGAAAAATATGTAAATGAACACGAAATGTTTCACAGACTTTACTGTACAGAACCATAAATGTAATTTGTTCAATGTATGAAATGTCTGAAGAAGAATCCAGACATATTGAACAATACTTGGACTTTTTAATTTCGTCCAAAATAGCATAAAGGACATGTTGCCCCATTCAATAAATTCTTTACAAATATTTGCAGACATATTATATGATGTGTTCCTCTCTCCAGCATCTCCATATAGATATAGATACTCTTCCAAAAGTCAAAAAGGGTCAAATTCACTCAACAACTCTATAATACCTAAACAATTTCCTTTGTTTGCTGACCATACATTTTTTTAATTATCTCCACAAAATGACAAATCTCTGGGGGTAAGAAAGCGAATTGAGAAACCAAATGTGTCAGTACTTTATGCCAGTACTTCTGTTCTGACCTATAATGTTTGATTAATAAAGGATCTAAAGACAGTCTCTTTGCATCAAGGCAAATATGCAGTCATATTCTTATGATGATCTTCTCCATTTTCATGTTCTACAATAAGCTTATGTTTCCAGTCATTGAATCCTGATGTAGCAAAGGGAGATTCTTTCTTGGACAATAGATGGCATGCAAAACAATACAAACAGCTCTGGGATGGTGAATAAAGTAGCCATTTGCACTTTAAAGACTCCCCTAAATGGATTTCACGTTTGAACTTATTCCTTGATAAATAGCTTGTTATAGTTCTTTCTTCTCCAGCTCTTCTGTTATGATTCTGACACAATGCTCCAGTATTCCACTGTACAATACTCTTAATATTCCATAGCCAGGGATCTGTGTAGTGAATTACACTCTCGTTTTCTCACACACCTTTGTGTGTTTCATCTTGTACAATTTTTCCAGCAGGTGAAACAGTTGGTATGAAACTGGATCCAATAGTTGATGTAGATGACACTACTGTATTTTATGGAGCTGTACGGTAGTAACTGCAATTTCATTTGGATTTAACCCAATTGTTAATTTTGCAAGTTTACCCATTTTCCTTGTACCCTCTGCACCTCTTTTTCTCTTCTGTGCTCCACTCACAAAACTGTGTTTCATATAAAGGTTTATACACATAGAAACATTAATTTATTACAAATATTTATGTTGTAATAGCGGTAATTCGTTTAAAAGATCATTTAAAAAAATAAACGCATGTCTTGAAAAAAATGGATGCATCTGTTCTTTCAAAAACAAAGGGCTCTCACTAAAAACAAATGCTGGGAAATGACTGTTAGGTAGAGGTAATTAAATCGATCTCTATATTTGAACATTCTAAGATGAACATGATCATGGGCTTTATTTAAACAGTGAGGACAAATTATTCCTAAATGCCAATATATTTCTGCCTTCAGCACAGATGGTGAGTGTTGGGTTTTATTTATCATCTAAATATGTTTTTTAGATGGAGAAAAACAATATATTTTTTAGTTTAGAAAATATAAATTTATTGGGCTTTTTTTTAGAAATTTATTTTTATTAATAATTATTATTTATTGGTGACCTACAAATTCCCTTACATAATGTTAATTAAATGGTGCTAGAGTAGACTTTTCTCCATTAATTTTACTACTGAGCAGTGGAATATCTAGGGTTATTACCACCCAAGGCCAGCATCTTAGTCTAACCTGGTTCTATTTGTATACAAAAATGCATAGCCTACTTTATTTTTTTTCGATTCATATCTGGGAGAAGTAAAACTTGTTAAGGAGAGTTATTCCACTTTAAGAAGTGTCCCATTTGTGATTCTCATTCATTATATTAATTTTGGAATGTGCCGATAATATCGTAAGCTAAAAATGGGAAACATGCTGTCCACCTACTTTTAAATCAAATTAAATTGTCTAAATCTTTCAATATTCATTAACTCCTTAACAATATGTGCAACATGATGCCTCTAAAAGAGTTAGTCTCCTAGAAGCATGAGGCCTCCTTGAAGCTCTGGGCCAGTGTCCAGTGTGTCCATGCCTTAAGATGAAATTGGTTAAGCGTACAAAAGTTTCAGCTCAGTTGAAGATCGGGCAGAAAGTCAAAACTGATATGCAATATTTGACACACAGAAGTCACTAAGGGGGTTCGGTGGTGACCTACAGATCATGATAGGTTGTATTGTAATCCGGGGTGGGTAAGTGTACAAGGTTTCAGATTAATTTGCTGGCCAGGAAGTGTGTCAAAATTGTGGTGCAAAGATTCCACAACAAACTAACGGACAGAGCAACCTAAGAATAAGTGTGTAAAAAAATATAGCAACTACTTCACAAATATTAATTTTGGCTAACATCCGGCATACTTCTTACATTTAAAAGTGAAGAGTGGCAGTGTGGTTAAATGGTACCGGTAGTGTGTCTGTAGAGATCAGAAATTTACAGAATCACATAAATTCAGTGTCACCACTAGCTAAGTCTTGTGCGTGACCCCAATGACTAAACTTGCAGGAATGGATTAGTCAGCCCACGTCTCTCTAAGAGTGGGGGGAAACCCTAATTAATATCCTAAGCAACCAGGACACCCATGTAACCCAGAGTTGGATAAACATCAGATGTCTAAGCGGACTCAAAAAATGGCCATACAGTTAACATTATTGACTATTTGAAACTATCCCCTAACATTTGAAGACAGATGACGCAGCAGTGTGTTCTAGGCTCTGAGGCCTGTTGACAAACTGCAAAGGCTAATTGCTTAGTTAGCAGCAGCCAATATTCTTATAATGTAACACTTGCACAATAATTGTCAAATGCAATAAAAAAAAGAAAAAAAAAAGATTAACCTACCAAACCTTGCTGTTACAATGCCTGCCAGTAGCATCCATATAGATATGTTGGATGTTAGAGGAATGCAGTTGTTTGTCTCATTTCCACTGTCACTATCTGTAAAATGTAGTCATTCAAGCAATTTATAATAAATTTACATTAAAATCTGCCTTGTTTGATTAAAAGTCAAGTCTTAATGCAAAGATAATATAACAATAGAGGTAGCAAAATGATATCATTATTAAAGAAAAAAACTACTTCATAAAAGACACTGATAATATATTATATGACCTGAAGATGAGACTTTCCATTACTACTACAAGCTATTTGTACTAATGTAGCCCAGAGTTCGATTATTCTTAACTGGAGTGTTCCATGTTTAAAAGTTCATTCTCATTTAATTCAGTTATCGTTCATTTTTATGTGCAACTTATACTTCTATACTTTAAAAAAAAAACATGTATGTTACAGTTAAATTTCCTCCATAAGCATGCCTTACCCTGTGTGCAGTTGAGATCAGCTTGAAGAGTAGCATTTGACTTTTCCTCAAGTGACAAGTTAAAAGGAGTTCCAGGCATCCAAACAGACACCACACAAAGTGTGAGACATGATATTTGCAGGGAGAGCCCAAACATTCCTGTTCTCTGCAAGCCTAGTCCACGCCTCATGAATTGGTACATGACTGTACCAAAAATACCAAAAAATGCTGCAACACCCATGGTGCCGCCAACTAATGCTTCTGTCAAACCTTGCATTTTTGCATACCCTGTGTTGATATAATTTTAAGTCATTTTATTACAATAAATGTATATAAGTTGTGAAAAATAAATATTTCTTTCAAAGATTTTATTTTTAAACATATTTTTAAAAAATCTTCTTTAAATTTATTTGATCAGCAGCTTTAACTGTTGTCTTGTACATGCATTACTTAAGAAGTACCTGTGTTACATAATTTTGCAATCCACCGTGAAGCCCCAGTACAACTAAGTTCAGCAAGCTATTTTTCCTTTTATTTGCTTTGAGTGTACTCAAAGATGATCCCCAAACAACCCCCCACCTTTATATGTTTGATCGTAATGGGTTGGGATGTGTGTATAGTCAAAGATTTATTAGAGCCTTCTACTTTCTAATTGTTTAAGTAAACATTTTTTAAAATTATAATAATAATACAAAATGACATGTACAGTATCAAATGCTTAAAATTGAAAAAAAGATTTCTTTACCCACAGTGACACTGTCAAAACCAAGGACAGTCATGTACAGACAAGCCAATGCCAAGCCTGCGTGTCGTACGTCATAGTGCACATAAACTGGCCATCCTTTGTAGAGTCTTTCCAAACTGCTGAATATCCGTGTGCATCTACAGCTCTTATGAGAATTTTTTACATTCTTCTCTTTAATTACTGTTGGTTCTGTGTTACCCACATCTTCAGAATCCTTTAACAAGAATGTTAAGAAGATAAGCCAATAATGATAATAATGACATTTAAAAAAAACATTTAAGTTCCATTTTAGTTAGTGTTTCCACAACGCTTCGATATAAAGCCCTGTAAAAATCAATGACTATCCATTTACACTTTTAATGAATGCGCAAATATTTTTCAAATTTATAACATACAATTTTGTAGATTAAGTCAGAAACACATATTTTATAAATTTTTTGAAAGAATGTGAGACAAATGAAAGAGAGCCCCCATGTTTGGAAGGATAAAAAAAGTGAAGCCCATGACAACGCATCTTCTGTTCAGAGGTAGTGACTGCCCAGGTGCTGCCTCATCTAAAGCACTTCTGAATAACTCTGAAATGAGGCCTCTCCTCCTTAATTGTGTGTCTGACTGGGCGATGTCTACTGGCCATCCTGTTTTTAACAGAGACCTATAAGGTGCGACCAAATGTCCAACAGTATAACTGGACCTATGGGAGGAAAGTGTAAAACATGTCATGTTACACTAACCCAGCCCCTACTCCCCCTTGAGCAGGTGTCTTCTTCCAGTCTTTATTCTCCTCCTTTCAAAGTTTCCCCTATGGTTAACAGAGAAGTTATGATGGCCCAGTCGTGATATGAGACATACCAAAATACTGTGGTGGCAAGGTCGAGGTGACTCTGTCTGTCACCAGGATCATGAAATTCCTCACACAGAAACAACTGACCCAATCCTCTTGACAATCCTCTTATCTAGCACTAAAATGACCTAAACAAACAATGCATTATGGAGTGGTAGGAGGTGGTGGGGAATGGTCAAATAGTGAATCCTGCCTGGATGACACGACTGAGCGAGGACACAACACTGAAGACTTCCATGCAGTAAACATGGACTCCCAGCCCATGTGGAGACATGCAGTGTGCAGCTTCTAGATTTGGGAGGGAAGGAAAGCCATAGAGAAAACCAGTAAAACCATGGAGAAGAAGACAAAAAGAAATGCAATCAAGCTCAGGCGTCGCCTTGTCAATCAAAAAAAAAAAAATTCAAGAACCGGCTACTGAGACAAACACAAATTTAAATATCCTACACATCAACATTTGTGGGAAATCAAACAAAAAAAGTAGAGGTCTTGCCAGCTCCTGCACATGAAACAAGTACATACAGTGCTACTGCATGAAACTTTACACCACAATACAGACCCACACATCAGAGGGTATACTCATTACACTTGCAAATGCCATTACTGTATGGGTATCAACAAGGCCAGGTTGAGGCAATCCTCACAGATCAGCTCACAGATATCCAAAAAACTACTGTTTGGTACCATGGTAAAATATATGCAGTTTTTAACACATACAACCTACAACAAATAACTTCAACTTTCCCAAACTAGATAGCACACATTACTCCAACACTGTGATTGTCTGTGATTTTAATGGCCACTCCCCTCATTTGGGATACCAGAATTACAACAACACTGGAAAGGCAATGGAAGAACTCATTAACTCTGCGAGGTTTTCACTATACAGAAAAAACAGAGGACACCCACAAGCTCTTCGCTGTACAGAACAAACAAGCGACACCTACTCTTTTCCACAGAGCTCGTAAAACACCCAGCAGACTTGGCCTAGCCATCCACTCTTCAGAATTACTTCAGATATATACCTGCGAGGGTCTGGACTGCATTTTCACTGCCCCATGCTCACGACACCAACAACACCAAATCAAAAGAATTTTAAAACAACTCGCTGGAATTTGAAAAAAAACAAATGGGATTTATATAAAGCAAAAAGCAATGAACAGATCAGTAATATCCCCCATGACACCACAGAAAAAGTCTGCAAAAAAAATCACCAAAGCCTTATTACTTATTAGAAGCTGCATCCCTAAGTATCCAAGAGGTCACAGCAGGAAATATAAACTTTTCTGAGACAAAAATATAGAACAAGCCATAAAAAAACAGAGAATCTGCCATAAAAACTTTAGAAAATAACCCAACTTTTAGGAAACTAAATAATTTTAAATGAGACCAACAGCAAAAATAGCTATCAAGAAAGCCAAAACAACAACAATTATTAAAACTACGCAAAAAAGGACCTAGGTCATGGTCCCATCAAAGTAAGCTTTGCAGTGAAAGGTGGAAATAGACCAAAGTACTATGAAAAAATACGAAAGATCAAAATAAAGCAGAAATCTTTAACAAACACATTGCCTCAATCAACATGGCAAAAAAAAAAAAGATAGAAAGTGACCAATCCCTAATAGGGGACCTAAAGGCCAAAAAGAGAGCTCCTTATGTAAGCATTTCCCTTTTTGAGGAGATCTTCACAATAAGTTCAACAGAGCAATCAAGAAACTAACATCTTGAAAAGCACCAAGCCCAGATAAAATAGCCTACATAAAGACATGCTGGTGAATTTTGGGCCAACGGGTAAAAAAAGACATACTGGATCTCATAAGCAAATCTTGGAGCAATAGCAATATTCCTAAAATCTGAAAAAATGCCATTATGACCCCAATATTAAAAAAAAAAAAGGAAAGGCTGCAAATAATGTCAAAAGCTATAGACCGATATCCCTGACCTCCTGCATTGGAAAACCATCACCTCTATTGGTGGCTAGAAACAACTGGCACCCTCAATAAACACCAAGGCAGAGTCAAAGGATCCTAAATGGCTTCTGAGACAAAAAGCACAAAACAGCAGCCTTTGTTGATCTCCAGCAGGCTCATGATAGATTCTGGCAGAAAGGCTTAGTGCAGGGACACTTGTCAACTGTACGAATGGTTAAAGTTCGTTCTTACTGATAGTACTATCCAAACAAAAGTAAATGATGCCACCTCATCAAAATGTGTCTAGGAAGAAGGGTGTCCACAAGGTTCATCACTGAGTTGTACCCTATCATTAATGGCCCACCAGACTAGCTACAGTTGGAGAAGACACTCTACACAGGTGACCTTGTGGTGTGGCACACTTGCAGACACACAGGTGTAAGTGGAAGGCACCTTAATGAAGAATTGTTCAGTCTCAGTACATACTGTGAAAAGTGGAAATTTAGAGTAAACAACACCAAGACAGGATACATGGTCTTCTCAAAAAAGCTACAATGTAGCCAAACAGAACATTACATTATCCCTAAAAGGCACCATACCCCACAAAAAGAAGACAACCCAGCATGTATAGATGTCCAGTTAGATAGGCAACTTGATTTAAAAAGAAATGTTCAAAACTTGAAAGAAAAGTTACACAGGATTGCTAAACCTTATTAAAAGGCCGGCCAGTGCATCATGGGGCAATGACAAGACCACACCAACCCAGTCATACATAGGATATGTGCAATAAGTGATGGAATAAAGCTTTGTGATAAAGCCAATTTGCAGCAAGACAGTATAGGACTCTCTATGAAAAGTAAAAAGCCAGGCAGTCCATTTCATTTTGGGAGATCTAAGATCTAACTTAACAGCAGCATGCAAAATACATACTAATATTGAGCCACTAAATCTTAGAAGAGAGACAGCAGTTATCAAGAAGGATGAAAGGTACAAAAGGCCAGAAAAGCAACATCCTAATAAAATTTTTTTTAAATGTTAAAAAAAGAAAGACCAAACCATAGAATTAAACAAATCAATACTAGATGTGGCCTCTGAAATGCAAGAGAAACATCAACTACCAAGAGACAGGGAAGACTTGCAAATCATGCATAAAGACCTATCTCTAAACCAACATTTACAAACGGCTTATATCAAAACAGACCTGATTGAAAAGATAAAAAGAAAATACAGACCGCTACATGCAATGATAGCTTCCGAAAAACCATGGTATCCTACCCAGAGGATATAATCCAATAATACAAAGACGGATCAGCTTTCAAAGGAGCCCTACATACCGTACAAACAGAGTACCCAGACCAATCAAGTGATGAACTCTGTAACCCATGTGGGGGAATCTGCTGTAATTATGAAGCAGAAGTGACTGCCACTGAAGCAGCATTACACCACCTATCTGCAATCTTCACAATTTATCCCAGCTAGGACAGAAATGTCGTTAATTATCTTCTCCGACTGCAAATACTTCAGGCAGCTGAGCATCAAGGTCTCACAAAAACAGTAAATCACTACTTCTGAAAATAAACACCTTCCTCGAAACCTATCTAAATTAAACCAGTCAAGCTAGCCTTACAATGGATACCAGGACACCACAACATACCAGATAATGATAGGGCAGACAAACTGGCCAAACAAGGAGCATCCAGAGAACACCCAAACACACCTCCATCACTCAACACCGTGAAGCAGATTATCAGAGCTAACAAAACAAAAAATAGTGGTTCGATGGATGGCTGAAGAGGAAGATGAGTTTTCACACACATGACCATCTCAAACTGTAAATATACAATAAATTGCGTCCAAAGACACGGACATGTTAAATCACTCCTCTGTGCGCAGGGCATATCCATCTTAATTCCCACCTTAACCGCATAAAGCTAGATAAAACACCAATGTGCCCCATCTGCAAACCTACAAATGAAACATTCATTTAACATATCACCTTTACCACTGCACAACCATTTCAGGATCTACACCTCAACTCTCAACCAAAAATAAAAGACTGCACCAACACTCTATTTACTAACAAAGAAACAGCGGCAGAGAGTGTGTAAATTCTTCACCATGTCTTCAGGGCACATGCTAAAAGGGCCACTGGATCTGAAAATTGATGCTGATGAAATACAGTTTCATATATTAAATATTATTTAATATATGAAACTGTATTTCATCAGCATCAATTTTCAGATCCAGTGGCCCTTTTATACATAAGATAAATTAACAAATAGTTCATTTGCACTGTACCTGCACAGTTGTATCAACATCAGACTCCTTGACATTTTGAAGGTATTCCTTTTCAGGACTTGAGATTATTTCCTCTGTGTTGGTCATTAGTTTACCATCTGTTTTTATTATCAAAATTTATCAAAAACTATGATTCCACAAACAGAAAAAAGATTACTGATTACAATACTTTGCAATTTACCAATTTAAACAAAATTAAACAAATTTTAAGTCAAAACCTTGTCATATTAGATTGTTTATTTTTCAACCACTGTTTTTAAAAAAAATTATTTGTTTAATTTTTTAATTTCTAACCTTCATGTGCTTGACCAGTGTTCACAAACTCCTCTTCAACTTTGGTTTCATCAGCTGGAGTTATAGTGAAAAATGATAAATATGATCATGACAATGAAATTCAAATGCCTAATGGCATCATCATTAAGAAATCAACATTAACTCAAAACAGGAACCATCTCAGTGATGATTACATTCTATTAAGCAAATCTGATGAAATTTTAAATTAGTAAGCAGGGGGGAGGAAAAATTCAAATTTCTTTTAATATAAACAAGGTTTAACAGTTCTCTAGCACAGGCCTGCACAACATACGGCCCACAGGCTGCATGTGGCCCGCCAGCACCCACTTGGCGGCCCGCGAAGTAACAAGATATTCTTTATTATTATTATTTTCTTAATAGCTTTCCCCCGCGTTCTATTATCTTTCGGCCTACACAAGCTTTTCATAAAGTATTACGGCACGCACAAGTTTTTCATGAAGTCATTTTGAGTTGTGCAGGCCTGCTCTAGCAGAATAGAAGACATCTAAATTGAAGCTTTTATCTTACAAGTATTTAAAAGTATTAAGTTGCAAATTTTAATATTAAGAGACCATAAACGTCTTAAAATGTTCATTAAGAACCCGACTCAGGCATTGGCCTAACAGATAGTTAAACATGGACAATTCGACATTCCATTTCTTGAAAACAAATATGTCTTGGTGAAATTAATTACAATTTTTATTCATAGAATTAAAGCCTATACTCTTACATATACATAAAATGAGAGAGAATACCCTGGGACTTTGTAAGGTCTTTTCTTTTCTTCAGTGCAGGCACAGTGTTGTAAACTTTCCACAGAAAATAATACTCAATGAACACAGATCCCAGATTCCAAGCACCAATGAACAGTGCTCCGAACTCCACACCACCATAGGACATTATCAAACCGGTGGCTATGGGTGCTAACACTTGCGTTGTAAGATCAATGAATCTCAACAATGATGTCATTGCTGGAAGGACATTACAGTTAATTATTTCAACTCTTTTGTATTCAAAAGTTTGTGGCTGTAAAAATGAATGAACTTAAAATTACATACATAAATTACAAGCAGCTATAGGTATATATTTCTTTATTTTATCTTCGTTTTAGTTCTAGTCAAATGTCTTCGAAATAACGGTAATACTTCTATTTTAAATATTTTGTCAATAAGAAATGTTGTAGATTTTTACTTGCTAATAGATCAGTGTCTTTGCCACACATCTGCACAATCCAATCTTTCTCAACAGCAATCTGGCGTGCCATGCTGGTCAGCCGTGACAAGACACAAAGTAAGATAACAAGAGCATAAAATGCATATCTTGTCCATTCCCCAATCGCCAATATATCCTGGGTGAACATCAGGAATAGGTAAATCACAACTGCACAAATCACCACAAACAAGTTCTGTAGAAGAAGTGCTGTTTGTGCCGCTTTAGACCAGGGAAAAAAATGGTATGTTTCCATTAATGAGAAAATAAAGATATTTGTTGAAGTGTACATTGGACCCTCGATATTCGTTCAGGTTAATATGTGTTTTTAGATTCGTCCTGTTTCCTTGTCAAAAGTTTTGTTTGATATTCATCAGAAAAAAGGATACTCATCCCACTTGCCTTGTGGGTCAGTCAGTCTTGAATGGTGATTAAAAGTGCTTGCATTCAACTCTTGTTAACTACTTTATTTATTTTCAATTTTTTCAATATTTTATGAGATTTGGAGATATGTTTTTGCTATAGCATCACATACATCTTAGCCATTTTTTTTATTTACTTCAATGTAGAGCTATTTTAGCCACCATCACTTGTCTCCCTAGTGTGACCTTGATATTGATGTTACAGAGTAAATTTGGTTGTGATTCCTTACCTAACTGTCCCTTGGTTAAGAATTTTTTTTTTTACATTGGAATGCACTCCATTTGTTCTAAAGAATGCCATCAGGTGACACAATTTCTAGAATTTCTTTAGTAGATTGTTCTGATATAATCCCCATGAATATAGGACGACAGGTTTCTTAGCTGAGACAGAACGAAAGCGAGATTTTAGCTATGTTTCCTAACACATATTAAGAGGTTTTATAATTGTGTATGTGTGTAAATGAATATTTGTATTTTTGAGGAGATCACCTTTTCACTTGCTGTTTTTTCCTTCTGAATTTGAATTTGTATTTGTATAGAAATTTAACTGCATAATTAAATTGAATATTGTATCCCTAGCTTTGGTATCCTTTTCTTTGCATACTGCTTATCTTAGTCCTTCATTACATATTGTTTATTATATGAGGCAAATATTAAAACAGATTAAATCTTCAAAAGCAAAACAGTATGCAAGTTTCAAAGAAATAAGTGACCAATGGTATTCTGGAACCAGATTTTTACATATTTCTTTTTTTAGTAATTATTTTAGATTTTTTTGTTTTGTTTTATTTTAGAGTTAAGCGTTAATTCCCATGCTTATTGTTGTAAATTTTGTTAAAGAATAGATAAACAAAATTCGGGGCTGGAAACGTAATAAGCTATTTTTAGTTAATTCCAGAAGGAAAAAATACTTTGATATTCGTTACTTTTGTTATTGATCCTTCCCTCTGTAACGGATTCATCATAAACATTGAGGGTCCCCTGTATTACCAAATAAATGGAGTATCTAATTTATTTATTGTTTTACTTCACCAATATCAACTGTGCAAATATTTTATTTTAAAAAAAATATTTTTATTGTGATTTTTAGGTTGTAACACATTGAAGGCGAGGATGCCTCATAACATCCAATATCAGAATATATTGTTTAATAAATTAACCTTTTAATGAAAGCTGCTTTGTCGTAGTTAAAGTTTTTCAGCACATAAGTTTCCTGTATGAGTTTGCACCCATAGTTTTTTTTTTCCTTTCCCAAGTCACCATTTCCCAGTTTTTAGAGATTTTTTGTATGGGCCGATTCTTCTGAATTTCATATTAGGAATTTATTTTATTTAGTCAGAATTTAAATTCCTAAATAACCCAAACAGTTATCTTGTGCCATAATGTTTCCACAGTATAATGCACATTAAGAAATATACATTTCATTCTAAATGTCAGACATTCAATAATAAAGAAAGTAATTGCAATTATCAATCAATGTAGAGTATATAATTATCAAGTTGTTCCTAAACATTTGATATGAGAATGGAAAAGTCTTTTATAATACATATTTGACATCATTAATATTTTAAATAATTAACTTTATTGGTATCGCTTTACCTTTAAGTCTAGGCGTTTCATCAACAATATCACCAACCAATGCCCCAAGGAACAGGACACTTAGGCCCATGCTAAGTCCATGAACAGCTGTTAACTGAAGGGATTCTGGGCTTATTTTGATTAAAAACAAGCCAACTCCAAATGACCACATGCGGTCTCCCTGAAAAAGAGCAGCAACCAATTAGACAAGTATTTCCCAAACTTTTTTGTGCCATTCTAAGCCTTTCTAAAATTCTTATGCTCCCCTGTATCATATACACAATTTTTAATATTAAAAAAAGGGTTGTTCACTGAAGAAACTTAAATGATAGGTATTAGGAAGAAATCACTAGGAAATTGGTGAGGAAACATAGTAAGGAAATTTTTTAAACATTTTAATTTTAATGGAGAACTGAAATTCAAGTATGAAATAATTTTAATGAAAGATTTTTCTATATTATTTTAATTATTAGCAATTATTTATTATTCAAATTTAGTGAGATGTTTGTGCTTGATGCTTGCTGCAAAGAGATTTTATGTTAGCGTCCAACAGAGTTAGCTTCAATCTCAAGTCCCCCTGTTGTGTTATTTCCAGCTGATTTATTCAGATGATCGACAGAAAAAGTATAGCGGTATCAGTCACTTCACATTTTGGAGCCAATAAAAGGTTTCAAAATTTTTGTTGTAAATATTTTTCTGACATAATTCAATTATGGTAGTGAAACCAAATATCTTTGCTTTTGCATCGACAATAGTTTTATTTGTTCCTTGAAGTTGGTTATTTAATATATTTAGTTTTTTTAAAGATATCGGCTAAATAACTCACAAATGCTTTACCATCGACCATTAACAGATACTTCATTTCAAGTTTGTCAATTTAAAATAATCGCAAGAGAATCAAATAGTTCCATAAATCATTTCAAGCAATTCCCTTCGAAAGCCATCTTACTACAGTGTGAAGTCAAAGTCTCACATAGTCTGCATTTTGTTTTTTACAAAACAGCTTGAAGAGACGTTCTGTTTGGCATTAGCTTTATTAGCATTAATACACTTTATAACTGAATTTAGTGCTTCATTTAGAACAGATTAAATTTTTTTAGCAGCTAAGTTTTCCCTATGAATAACACAATGCACAAGTAGCTTTTCTGGATTCTCATCTTTCATCAATTTTAAGCAGCCATTTTTCTTGCCCATCATGTTAGGAGCACCATCTGCAGCACAAGATGTTATATTTTTCATTTATATATTATTGGCATCAAAGTAATTTTTTTAGCTTATTATATATATATATCTTTGGCGGTAGTGGTGCTTTCTAATGATTTACAGAACAACATTTCTTCAGCAAAATACACTTTATCAATATATTGTACGTAAGTTATCAATATAGCCTGTTTCTCAAAGTTGATTCATCCATTTGCACTGAGAATTGTTTACAGCTTTTCAACAAGTGGTATTACAATATCTTCACTCATTTCGTCTATTCTTCTGCTAACAGTATTGTTACATGATTACGTGTGGCACAGCTTTCATGTCTTTGTCATCTTTTTCCAGAACCATTTTAAGAAATGCTGTTATTGATGGTTTGATTAAATTCTCTTCTATAGTAGTATTATTTTTCCCAGATTTAGCAATGAGTAAGGAAAATTCATAACTAGCCTCAATAGTACGATTGATAGTTGCAGTAAGAGCGGTAAATAGAGACTTTAATGTTGTTCTTTTTTCAAAAAATGGTACCAGTTACATCTTAGTAGACGGTTGGTTTCCATATTCTAGACAGCTCATTTTTAAATTGCCCTTCTAAACAATCAAATTGCCCCCTGTGGGGCGTGGGCCCCACGTTGGGAAACACGGAATATACTTACAAGTATAGCTATTTTTTTATTGGTAAAAAAAAAATTCATTTTTAAAACCCATTAAAAATACTGAACTTACCCATGATGATAAAAAATGACTGAAGTAGACAAATAAATTAGCCATTTCTTTTAACAAGCTGTGAAAAGAAAAACTAATGTTATAAAAATAACAAACAAAAACAAACAAGCTATAATGGTTCAACTTTCTAGGAATGGATTTTCTCCAAATCAGCTGTAGAAATGATACTGATGAGAGAAGATTTATAGAGTATTATATAAAAAACGATATTTTCAAATTCAAAGTTCAAGGCTAGTTAAAACTATTGTTTACACCCTGCCTTGTTATCATAAGGAGGACGTTTAAATAAGGAAAAAAAAAAAGGGGGGGGGGGTGGGGTGGGGAAGGGGTCGATTTCTTGATTGTGAAATATTTTTCCCCCAACACTCAATCAAGTGTAGATTAAATTCTAAGATATGGCCTAGTACTTGTAATTAGAAAATGTGCCAATTTCTTTGTTTCTTAAATGATAAAATAATAATCATAAATAATAAAATAAATTTAAATTTATTATCAAGGGGAGACACTGATTTTTACCCAGGTTACTTGATAAACAAATTAACCTAAAAATTAAGAAGATTGATCATTACCTTAATAAGTTAATGAAATCTCTAAAAAAACAGCAAAACAAAAAACAACTCTTAAACACCATCCAAGCATCGTGCCATCTAATTCTTCTTATTTCCGCCTTCACTCAGATTCCTTGCCATCAGATCAGTGCTGTTAGTATTAGTCATAATTAGTATTATAATTTAAGTGTACCATAAATTATACATATTTAATTGTGTTATATATTAACTAATACTAATAACATTATAATAAAATAAGGCCACCAGCTTGCATCAAATGTCCCAGCATCCCTGAAAGGTCTGGAAATGTCCAGGCCTGGGGCGTTTTCTGATGAACTGCATACTTTTCCCTGGACCCATTCTTTATTCAAATTCCAAATCATACTTTCTGCCCATTAGGACGTCAGATGGATAGTTAACCTTCTCCTGAGTCTGAAGCCTACTGCACCACTGGTGGCTATTTTTTGCAGTATGGAAATGTACGGAAGGCAGGGGCTGGGTGGAAGTGGATGTTTCGGTGGATGGTATTTGCCAGCCCAGGATTACTGATTACCACAAATAAAGGTTTAGCTAAGTCCATAACCATATTAAATGATATAACATACTTCTTCTCCTTCTAAGCCTTCTATATACTAAGGGCCCATGATCAATGTATTAATCATTAATCATTCTCGCTCATATGTATGTAGAGGGATTTGCAATGTTTCTTTGCCTGACTGTGGTTGCAAGGGCTGCCAAGCGAGGGTATCAGGACAGGAACAAGGACTTGGCTTGGAAGGCCTGAGGCATAGATAAAGTAGACACAAATGTGTCAAGTGTTGTCCCCTCAACTGTTCCTTTTGGAAGAATGTTCCAGCCCAGTCCTTGAAGCTTTAGTTATTTATTTGATTTATAATTTAACATGAAAGTATAGGCGTACTATGCACACTGATACTAATGATGAAGTATTTACTTTGCCCTCAGGAAAGCATGTCTACTTTCAATAAATTTTCAGCAACTGATTTTGGGTTCGAGGTGAGGGGGATGCAACCTTCATCCCCCCCCCCCCCCCCCCCCCACAAAAAAAACAACAACATCTGGTCATCATAAATTAAATGGGGATATGTAATGTAGGTGATGAATATGAAAAACGAGTATAATAATTATAAATCAAATAAATGACTCAAACTAAAAGTAGGCTAAGTAAAACTAAAAATGATTGATAGGCTACTGACTACTGATAGGTTAGAAATCGCTTCCAATCATCCTAATTAACAACTCTGGCTCTGGCAGGCTCTGGTCACTTACTTTGGTTGGACTTTGGAAAGTATATAACAATAATTTTACATACTCATTTCATAATTCATAATCATACAACCCATCATACAATCGCCACAAACTTCATATGCTGCAATATGCACTTTAAAATAACTAGTGACTAGTGGTCTACCTGATTAAAAATTATTTATGTTCGTAATTTGTATTTAAAATATTTTTAAAAATATTTTCTTACAGAGATTCAGTTTTCAATTTACCAAAGATGGAAGGTGGATAACTCTGGATTATTAACTAAATGTTAAAAGAAAACCAATCCTCATTATTTAATTTTACATCGTTATCTTCGCTATTTACTATTTCATTTTTCCATCCTGTCAGTTAACTGAAACAAATCAATAATAAACATATTTTTATGTGATGCATCATTCAAATATATGGCCACTGTGGGTTGCTTATTCTAAAATTCTAGCATAATTATAAAAAGCAGCGAAATCAGTCAGAATTGGAAACCAGATCTATATTTTAAAATATTTAATTTTTTACAGATTAATTTAACTCAATAATTATAAAAGCATGCAAGAGTATGAAAATGATTATGATTCTAGAAGTGTAGGCAGTGTAGGGACTGATGAGGTTGAAGAAGCAAAAAAGAATGACGACACAGAAATCAAGCTTCTGCAAGAAACTATATTTGGTAAGTCCAGGGCCAGGACTAGTTAGGGCCTAGGGTTTTGCCTACTACCTAAACATTATAAATTATAATTATAATGTTTTAAAGAAGGTAATAATTAGTAATACAAATTAAAATTATACCATTCAACCATGGACCATTGCCATTATCAATTGAAGCACAGTAATTTGAACACGTAATTAATACAGGGTCAGGGGTCAGCGGTAAAAAGTAAAAAAAACCTCCTGAATGATCACACTCACTAACTTCACTAACATTTATATTATATTATTATGGAAAGGGATAGGCATAGGACTATACTATCAATCAGAGGCATGTAGGGTTACCGAATAAATCTATTATTATTATGAAAGAAAAAAAGCTTTTTAAAATCTTAACCACCATCAATAATAACTTAACTAATTCTTTAATTTGTGATTAATTCTTATTAAAATTCTTAATTGTTGTAAGTAATTGGATGTAGTTAGTCAAAGGGGCCATCGATAAATGATGTCATGCATGGGGGGAGGGGGCGCATTTTTTGTGACAATGTTTGACAAGGGGGAGGGAGGGTTAAGCAATTTAATGTCACATGAAAAGCAGAACATTACACAAAAATGCCCCTAATAACACTAAGTTTCAGACATTTGTAACATGATTCTTTCATACAACATTTAATTTATAATTATTTTACTTTTAAACTGATCTATTTTTAAACTCTCACTGAGAGAATCAGTTAGTACAGGTATGAGAGGTCTGAAAAATGGCCTCTGATCAAGATACAGGCCACTAGGGAGGAGGAGAATATGGGTGTAGTGACACTGACTGATAGTCGTGAGAATTTATGCCAAAATGAGGAGACAGGAGTCATAGAATTAGGACTACCAAGTTAGGTGGGATGGAATGAAAAATGGTTGACCAGGGAGTGGGGTGTGTTTGATATTAGTAAATGCTTTAAGGCAGGGATTCTTGATAATTTAGTTATCATAGTTTCTTTAATTTACTTCCTATAAACAAGGAAAAAAAACAATACAATTAATGCACAAAGTTCACAAGAAAAACATTTACTGCAGCTAATGGATAGGAATAAAAACTTATTATTTTTAAAGGTGTAACAACAACTTGCAATGACAGTAAATACAATTTTCTGGGTCTTCCACACCTCAGGGAGTGCTTTCACCTCTCGTTAAGAACCACTGTTCTATTGAAATGTTTCCGTAACAGATGCAGTTATTTGATATCTTTGAGAGGTGAATTTTAAAAGGGTTTTTTTAAAGGAAAGAAGTGGACATATGGATTTTTATGGGGTTGGGGGTTGCCGAGATTGATTATGTTTGATTGGGGGGTTGGGGTCTAAATTTTTTTGACAACTTGTGATGATGGTTGGAGGGGGTGTAAAAAATCGGCCAAACTTTGGTGACGTCATTTAAGGATGGCCAGTAAAAACAAATTATGAAGGATTTGTGAAGATGTGTTCCTGGGATGGGTAAGTTAGATTTGCTCAAATACTGGTATAAGAGAACATTTTGTTGAGTGTTAATTTACTTGATATTGTCATTGAATAGTCATTCCTAGACCATGGTGGACAACCTTTTTCTAAAAAGCCACAGTTGAGGCGAATGAATAGTAAAATTGCCACTCTATATATATATATATATAAATCATAAATCAATACTATTAAATCAAATGAGAGAGTAATACAGCTAGTTAATAGTAGTAGTATAATGAGATGTCATGGTATCATAAAGCTCGAGGATAAAGTCGAGGCATGGTGGGGGTATCAAATCTCAGCTAACCATAATGCAGTTACCTCTTCTTGTCCAGTTACCAACAACTTTATTGTTCCTTCTTCAGACACCAGAACCGCAAAACAGTCAACAAGCTCCTTCAAAATTAAAGAAGGCAACATTTTTCCATCCCAATATACTATTAAATGTACAATGTGGATTAATGATGTCTGAATCGCTTTAGCTACTATTACACTGTAAAGTGTAATAGTAGCTAAAGCGATTCAGACTATGTCTAAGTGATTCTTCTGCAGTAGCAATTATGTATGTTGCATTTCTGTCACTGACTTTGGTTCTGTCTAATGCAGCTGCTAAACCTGGACTGAAAATCCTGATTGACCTGCTTTGCTTTGGTTGACTAGGGGGTTGTTGTCGATCAGAGTCCTCTTCAGCATCGTTACTGGTTTCAATTTCACTTACAATGCTGCTGAACTCTGTATGAATGGCTGCTTGTTGCATCTGCCCAGTCTCCTCTGTCTTGCTTGATTTTCACCAAAAGCCATTTTTGATTCCTGTCATCTTTCCGAGCCAACACCATGTCAACCAAACCCATGCTACTACCCCTCCCTTTCTCTCTATGTGTGCCTAAAGGAATTTGCTGTCTTTAGGTAGCTTTATCATGGCCAGAGCCTTAGCATGTGCAATGTCCAAACGGTCCTGCAAACTTTCAGTAAATAGATGTTCATTTTTCATTTGTGTGCGCTTCCTGCCAGATGCCTTCTTTTGGTAAAAAAGAAATGCAGGGAGGACTGCGTTCAGGTTGAAGCAATACATTTTACAACTTTTACTTCAATAAATTATTCATTATGTACTCAATCGACATGCAATTTTTTTGTGGAGTATTTATGGGAAATGTTTAATTTTATGTCTTCATTGCATTTAATATAGAGTCTCATACTATTTATTTATTTAGATTGAAGTGCAACTTCAGATTATAATTCTTTTTTATCAGATCTAGTCAGCAGAATAAGGGATCCAGAAAAGCCAGACTCCCTTGAAGATTTAAATGTTATTTCTGAATCTGGAATAAAAGTTTGCAGACTTAGAACAGGTCAACTGTTGGTGCGCATTGAATTTGTACCAACTGTACCCCACTGCAATCTGGCTTCCATAATTGGTTGGTATAATTAAAATTTTTTCACAAAAGGAAAAGACCTAGGTGGCTGGACTCATTAGGTTACTCCTTTCAGATTTAATTCTGATATGAAGATTTGAGATGATAAGTTAATTTTTGTGCTAAAACTGATGGTGGAATACTTTTGATGATGAAATAAAATGGATGTGCTAGTAAAAGCTCATAAAATTATCACCATCATTAATTCTTTTGTTTTTATTTTAGGTTTATCTATGAGATCAAAGCTAGAAAAATGTTTGCCAGACAAAATTAAGGTATTTTATAGTTTAGGAAAACTAAAAATTAATACATGTTTATTAGTTGGCTTGAAGTCTTGAGGAACGTCATAGCACATAGTTATCTAGGTTTTGTTAAGCAAATAAAACTTATTGATTTTTTTCCTTCTCCTTTTGTGGATTTGAAAAAAAATATTTTTTTTTTATCCAAATATCAAAATGTAATACAAGGTATTATTAATTTTACATAATATCATAATTAATTGTTTAACCTTGAAGCAATTACTATCAGGAAAAATACTTTCGATAATTATGTCAAACAAACATTTAATTCATGGTATACATGCATATATATATATATTACTTTCAACTTTTCTTTTTTTTCTGTAGGTTGATATTTTCATAAAAGAAGGGACGCATGAAACAGCTGATGAAAGTAAGCAACTTCATAATTTTCATCTGATCTTCTGTCCTATATTTATTTAAATATTGTAAAATTTAAGCCTGGACTATGGGGAGACACATCATATGAACTATACAATCTGATTCACCCAGAGCCATCACATAGGTACTGTAACCCATGTAACTGCAGGGGACCAAGGATATTTACTAGGCCCAAAATTGTTATGTGGTACAAAATTACACTATCAACTTTGAATGCTGTGTCATGTGATGCTTATGAATTCACCCTTTATTGAAGTATAAATAAGACTGATTCTAGGTTGCTTACTTTTTCTTTTACTAAAATGTATGTATGAAAATGCATTTAGTAATTTTAATTAATTATGGTTTGGATTCTAGAGTTTATAATTTTAATTTAACCTTGTTGGGCAATTTTAATTTTGATATCCTTCGTTTTAATCAGCTAGAAAACATTTAAAGAGTTATACACCTTCTTTGAAAAGTATTTTTTTTTGTATTTTGAAGTTTTTCAAAAAATGTATCATTCCGTCTTTATTAAAAATTAAAAAAAAATTAGGCAATTAATTGGGTTTTTATGATTCTGCTACTTATGCATATTTTGTGTATATGGTATTCCTCTGCTCAACATTTTTATGATGTTCACAACCTTGTAATTCAATTAGCTTTTATTTTTAAAATATACTTTATTAGCTGTTGGACAGTTGATATAGTCTCTATAATTTTGAGGAGGGTGATGTTAGGAAGTTGTTCTGGACAGGTCACAAATCTACATTAAGAAATGCTGTGCTCATTTATCTCAGTTCTTATTTTCAATTCTCTCCCTTGTTCCTTTGGAATTATTTTGAGAATTTACCTTAGATTTATACTTTTTTTTTTGGTATTCATTTAGCTTCGCCCCTAAGAAATAGTACAAATTTTAATTCATAAACTTAAACTTCTTTTCCTTTTTTTTAAAAGTTTTTTTTCCAGTTTAAATTGGGACATTATAAAATAAAAGTAGAGTAAACGTAACAAAATTTCCAATGTAATCGACTGCAGTTTCTATTTTATTACTTTGAAATCACTTGAAATATTGTTACAAATTCCACTATTCTACGAGGGGCATTATGATATATCATGTAACAGTCATGTTATTTTGAAATTCACTGAGTTATATTTTTATTTTTTACTTTTCAATCTGCAGTCAACAAACAGATCAATGACAAAGAAAGAATATCAGCTGCTATGGAGAACCCTAATCTACAGAGACTAGTTAATGAATGCATAGACAATGATGAAACATGATATTCATCTGCATATTATAATCATTTCTTGCAACACAAATTTTTTTTAAAGAATACACAAATTTAGACATGTCACAAAGTACATGATGGCTCTATTTTTAAAAAATAATTTTTTGTAACCACATAAATTTGTAAATAGACTTGATTAAATATTTATACAGATTTACTTTGTCATGGTTTACTGTTTATTTTTTTAAGGACATATTTTAATCATTGTTCTTCGTACATTATATCGGGAAGTCAGGTTTCCAGCATCTGAGAATTTTCTAATATATTAAAACCATTTTCTTTCACTCAGCATAAATGATGTCAATAGCAAAAACCTCACAGAACAAAGAAGAAAAAAAAGAACAAAAAAAGAACAAAAAAAAACCTCACTCAGACAACACATTTTCAACAAGGTCAGAACATAAAGTAACATTTAATTGCATTCCATTTCCATTTAAAAACAACTAGTGTACTTAATTACTAAACTCAATTGCAACATGAGGCTTATAAAAGAAAGGTTCATTACAGTAAGTGGTGAGAATGGTTTGACATGAAACCAATTTACGGTACCTGTTACATGTTGAAAGGAGACAAAAAATGCAAACAAACATTTACCAACGTTCATAAATAATATTCTGGTTGGGGCTTGGCGTTACGCTCTTAATACCCCAGTTAGTACATTGGCAACCAGCTCCATCTATTGGGCCGTGCCATATAACATCGTTATAATGCAGGACTCTCCCGCCGCCCCGCCCCCACCCCCCCCCCCCACCCCCGTAAATCCAGTGCAGAGCACTCAGTCAACAGATGAGCTAGTGTCTCCCGGGGGCGGTGCCGGCATGTTGTTGTCTAGCCTGTTGTTGAAGTATGAGTTAGTAGGGCATTGCTCCGTTCTCATATGCGTCACCAGGCTCTGGTCTCGGCCACCCAGTTTCCAGCAAGGCTCCCGTCTGCTAAGAAGCGGCATGTTAAGCGAATGTACCACTGGCCTCCGTACTGTCTGCCCATTGTCCGCCCCACTTTGATCTTACGGGGTCTGCCAACCAGTTTTTGACACCGGGATAAGTGACTGGTGATGTTGCGTGGGACTGGGCGGCCCCGTTTTTTTTTCCAGGGGTGTCTGCTTTCTCGTTCTCCTTCACGCCTTCGTGGCTTGGTCACCATTGCACCTTGACCTTGCCTCCGATTTTCTCAATCTTGCCCCGTCATCTAATGAGATGGCGCCAAACAAGTGGGTTTTAGTACTTCCTTATTCAAGATCCCGAAAGAAGATATTGAATAGAAGAATACGACAGCGTCAAGTTCCCACCTCTGCAGCCTACTGTCTCCAGCTCCGCATCGAAATTCGACGCCGCAGTCACACAGGGTCCTGAAAGTTCATCATTAGGTTGCCCTCCCATTGAGTATAGGATGAGCGCACCTTAATGTCAACTTGAAAGTATAGATAACAATTTGAATCCGAAATCTGGACAGCCTCATTAAAAAAAAAAAATGATAAAATAAAAATGCTAAAACTAAAGGTCCACAAAAAAAAAAAAAAAAAAAAAAAAAAAAAAAAAAACCAAAAAAAAAAGGCCACAAAAAAAAAAAAAAAAAAAAAAAAAAAAGCTAACAAATTTTCATTGGTGCTTGCATGTAGGGTGGGGTGCTTGCATGTAGGGTGGGGTGCTACGTGGATACAGTGACTGGATTGAAATTAAATTATAATCACAGGAAGCTGAGATCTGTAAATACAAACAGGGCTATGCGGGGGAAAAGGGTGGTGCAAGGTGCACCCGACACGGCGCCACCTTCAGAGGGCGCCAAAAATCGTCATTTCTCGTCCAAAATATGTGTATTTATAAATAATTTTTTACGGAAGAAGGGGGCTAATGTCAGGCTTTGCCTCGTACGGAGAGTTTGAGTGCCACTGCCCTAAGTGCAACACAAACTAATTGATCGGTCGGTGAAGTCATCATGCGCTTAGGCTTGTTATAAGGGCCATTCACGGCGGCCATGACCGAGTGCATTAAATCAACATATGCGATAACTCGGTTTAGTGCCGGATAAGACGTGGGGCACTGCCTTCCGGTGAACTTAAAAAATAATAATCGCATTGTCCTTAACCAAACAAGTTATTTCGAAGGGGCCGTCCCAAAATTATGTCACACACGGGAGTGGGGGAGCGGGGTACAAAAATATTGTGTAAATTTTATTATCATAAAAAAAAAAAAAAACAAAACCCCCACCCCCTTTTTTGATTAATTTTTATTTATTTAATTATTTTTAACAATTTTTATTTTTTATTTTTAGAAAACGTGACGTACTTAGGTGGGGGAAAAAAAAAGGGGGGGGGGGGTTCTGAGATTTGTGACAAGGAGTTCACTTTAAAAAAAAATTAGCGTTACATACTTTATGGACGGCCCCTAATGAAGTATTGCCAATCTATAATTTTTTGATTTTATCACATGGAACTTTCAATAATCACGCGAAGGACGCCCATTATTCCAGATCATTAAGATGTCTTTTGTGTCACAGCACCAGGGAAAATGACAGTAATCAACAGTGAAGCAATGTCAAATTTTAAGTACCACAACTAACGACTACTTCAAACCATTAATTACTGGGATATCAACACGAAGGCTAAACGAGTTAACTGACTGAATCTCTACCAGGCATTATTAATTAGAATCCAATGCTCCTAATCTAGATTTGCCTTAAAAAAATCTTCGAAAAATCAAATATATTAATATGAATGTATGGATATTTCATTGATTTCACTTTTTCATCAATTATATTAAAACATTTATAAAAATGACAAGTTAGTAGTAATTAAAAAAAAAATACATGATATTCACACTTTATTTTTTCAACATATAATCTCTCTTTTTTTTCTCATGGAGCTCACATGACTTTTTCTTGGAAAAGGGACCCACCACCCCGGAGAGATGCCTTAAAGAAACACTGTACACAAGTTAACACAGCAAAGAACATGCTCTGTAAAGCAGGAAATTAGTTTTAAAAAAACAACAACAAAAATAACATAACTCCATACAAAAGATCAATGCCACTGAAGGAGCCAATTAATTCTTATGGGAGAAGAGGGAGGAAGAAAACAGGGTGCTGAGTAATTTCCCGACTAGCTCCATAATTAAATCATCAATATATAACCTCTTTGATTTCAGGCTGATTGCAATAGAGATCAGAAGAGTTATATTTAAAAAATATATATATATTAATGAATGTATGATGTCACAAGAGATCTAACTCCCACCCCTTATCACAAACTGTCCCACGTTCTTAGATCCCCACCAATGTTCCCTCTAAGGTTTGTTGGTTCGTGTGCAAAATCATAAATTTGTGTGCAAATTTTTACAGCATCATTTTTTTTTGTGCGCAAATTTTACAGCCTACAGACACAAACACACCCTTAAGTGAAAATTAGCTGCGCGTACTCCAAACTGCTGCGCGGCGTCTATGAGATTACTGCGCGGCCGCGCAGCTTAAAGGGAACATTGATCCCCACCCATGGGTGCCCGCAGAAAACTTTCTAGGGGGGGGGGGCAAACAAATCGTAAGGGAACATTGATCCCCACCCATGGGCGCCCGCAGAAAACTTTCTAGGGGGGGGGGCAAACAAATCGATTAACTTTCCAGGGGGGGGGGCAAAAATTGTTTAGTAATGTTTTAATGTAGTTTTAATTTACTGTAGCGTATTTGTATGGTGAACGAACGGACAGGACATCAGCTTAGCTACTTTCTCTTTATTTTCTCTTTACTTTAATACTTTTTTGTCTATTTTTGTCTAAAAATTTGTTATCCAATCAATCGGGGGCGGGGGGGGGGGCAAGTGCCCCCCTGCGGGCGCCCATGCCCCACCCCCTTTTTTCCTGAGCGTGACGAACTTTATGGAAGGCCCCTTATTGGAAACGAAAATATTTTTTATATTATAAGAATGTGTGCGTTAAATCCTAATTTATTATATTTTAATGAACGTTTATAAACTAGAGGCGGTAGGGCCCCGTCCCTTTCCTCTCCGAAGAGATACACGAAGCTTCTGAAGTAACACCAAATTTACTATACAATTTAAGCATGCACTTTTTCCAAAGGGTAAGCGACGGATTCTCGTGGGAGATGCTGATCTTCTATCGAGCGCCTCCCCAGCTGGCGGATAGGGGAAAGCCCGCCAGATATGGAGGGTACCGGGGAAATAAAATACCCGGGGCGGACCAAAATCAGCCCTACTGCCTTGTAGGAAGTGGAGGGATCCACAAAGGCTAGGGACCTAACCCGAACAAAGGCAGCTACCCATTGAGCTGTGAGGGGCAACCCCCCAAGTGGTTGTGCGCAAGGCCAACAACCCTGCCATGTAAAAAATCATAGTTACAAAAGCACCGAAAAGAGTAACAAAAGACATTTCAGTCCTGGGAGAGGATGGATTCCTTGAGGAGGAAAATATGACGCCTAATAGTGAAAGCCGAAACCTGGAAGCTATTAAGCCGACAACCATCATCTCTACCAGGACTACCACCGTCATTGGCGCTTGGAATGTCCGCACCATGTACGAGGCTGGTAAAGCGGCACAAATAGCCGCTGAGATGAGGAGCTATAAGCTCACCATTCTCGGAATTAGTGAAGCAAGATGGACTGGATGGGGACAGAAGAGATTAATCTCAGGAGAGATGGTGATATTTTCGGGACACGAAGAAGACAATGCCCCACATACCCTGGGTGTTGCTATGATGCTATCAAGGGCAGCACAAGGAGCACTCATTGGATGGGAGGCCCATGGACCTAGAATTCTTTTAGCAACCTTTCGAACAAAGAAACGTAGCATCAACCTAGATGTTATACAATGCTACGCACCAACTAATGAAAGTGATGAAGGAGACAAAGAAGAATTCTACAATAGAGTAATGACCATAGTCCAGGATCGCCCACGGAGGAACATCGTCATCCTCATGGGAGACTTTAATGCCAAGATCGGCAATAGCAACACAGGGTACGAAGAGGTTATGGGACAGCAAGGGATAGGCGAGATGAACGACAATGGTGAGAGGTTTGCGGACCTATGTGCCACAGCTGACCTGGTCATAGGGGGGAGCATTTTCCAGCACAAGAGGATTCACAAAGCTACATGGGTCTCTCCGGACATGAGAACGATGAACCAAATAGACCATGTATGTATTTGTAAAAAA